ATTCATTATATTTTCTTACTAAATATAAGTCATGGTATGAATAATAATCAATGATATTTACTCATTAAACCGAAAGCACATTTCACTCGTCCTGCGGACTCGTGAGATCTGCAGCTCGGTTTCAATTCAAAAATACCATCGATGATAATCATACCACTTGTTATATTATGGGTGAAATGGTAAGAAAGTAAACAAGTTTTGGTATAAAAATTATCTTCGACTATAATTTGATATTTTTATCCACATCCAGCCCACAAAATTGAATGCATATCGAATTGAAGTATTAATTCTTATTATCGTCGTATGTCTTTTACTGCAAATTCCAGCAAATGTCTAAAAGCAATGAATCCAACTTTATAAAGTACCCAAAAATTCGATCTCCAATCTTATCATATGGTGCCAAAAATGGGCGCCTATTCATTGAAAAAATGCGTTCGATCCTCTTTTTAAATAATTGGCGTTAATATGTCAATAAAAAATGTCAAATAATAGTTTAAGAGTAATGTTTATACTTTGTTTATTTAGTAATTAAAAAAATGACAAACAAATTTTAAAAATTGATTCTTTTTACAAAAAAATACATTATACTTTAGTTTTGGTATTTAAAATGACATACCATTGATCTAAATATTGTCTATGAGCGATATTTAATAAAGAACTTCTCTACTAAATATCCCTCATATTATACTACTACTGCTACATTGGAACAAAAATTAAAAATATAAATATTTTCCATTTCATCGGTAAATATTTTCCATTTCATCGGTAGGTATACCTACCGATGAATGTATACTATACAGTGTATAGTCCTTATATATTTTTGACAAAAACGTCAAAAATAATCAGGTACATCCAAAATGGATTGAATAATTTAATAAATAATTAAAATATTAACGAAAAAACTTACATTATTATTGATAAGATTGATCATTTTTTTATCAAACAATCGCGCAGGGCAATGCGGCTTTAAAATGATCGCTGGCCAGCTCATTACTAAATATAAGATTGTCAAAATATATTTTTCTACTACCACGCCCTTTATCGTACATGTTTCCAAGACACTAAGTGACCTTTTAAATACACATTGACAAGTTGTGGCTTTACGGCGTTTTTGTCACGGTCTGAAGTTAGCAACAGGTTTTTAGTCACGGGCTGAAGTCTCTACTGTAAAGTCCTCATAAAACATTTCCTTTACTTTCACTGTGAAAAACTGTCAATTTTCAAGATACATTTCGATTTATAACCTTTATAATTGTGTTTATAAAATGTAAAAATGTGACATTTGACAGTTTCCCCTGTTGTTTCATAGATTTTAATGCCTAAATTAAATTGGTGTATAAAATGGCGTTCATGAAAGTTGATACATAATATACTATTATTGACTTTTTTGTTTAAAATTTCTGAGCCTTGGTTTGAACCCGCGAAACATCCCACTACATGGAACAATAATTCATAACGTAAATGGATTTAGAAATCGCATTATTAAAGTCGCACAGAAAATAAATAACGCAGGACGGATAAAGCGATATTTTTTAAAAAGATGCCGCGCTGGTATTTTACTTGGTGACAGGCAATTTAAAAACATCCTTTGATTTTCATTTGTGATTCTTTTAAATATCTGTTACTTTAATTCAACAAGTGTTTGAATTTATAGTTATTGAAATAATTTCACAACAAAATCATTTTGCAGTAAAACAGCAATATCTTTTTCTTTAAAGTGAATTAGGGCCAATGTTATTTTTTAAAATACTCAAGTCATCGTGGTATATTTTTTGTACAGCCTGAACGGTCAAAGTTAGTTTTAAAAAACTGATAAAATTTGTCAAAAATGTTTGGTTTTCAAAACTACTAATAATTATATTTTGAACTGTAATCAACAGCTTGCCTCTTCAGGGTTGCGCAACACAAAATATAATCTTAGAATATGGAATTATGTAGCTATAGCACTTTAAGGTGTAAAATTTTACAATATTCATAAAAAATGACAATATCTCAAAAACTAAAGATTTTTTACTAAGGTAATGTTTTGATATTTTAGCTGGCCTATTGGTCCTTCAAAGGGTATCGTTGACTTTGGGACACCCTGTATACACACATATTATTTGCCTATATATACAAAAATTATAATAATAATAGTAATAATAATAATAATAATAAAGGTATTTATTGCCCAACAGTTTTCACAATACAGGACATTCTTATTCTAATAATTCAATAATATAAAGAATTTACAATAATGGTATAGATGTGAATACAAAAAAAAGAAAAAATACATAAGTAAAGATTAATAAATAAATAAGTAAATAAATAAACAAAACAGTATTGAGTATGAACAAACGAGAGGTGTGTATATATAATTAAAAACATTTTAATATATCCCTAAGGCTAGAATAATTTATATCACATATATTTGCCACTTTGTTAAAAGTTCGAGACATATTATATATGGGTGATATCAATAAAATGTTAGTACGTGCCTTTGGACATTCAAATACAGACGCTTGCCTACTATTAGGTCTCGGTACAAAAAAGTTTAATTGTCCCAATAAGTCAGCACAGTCTACAAAATTATGAATTAGCTTAAACAAAAATGTAGTGCAGATTTTATCTCTTCTTGTTCCCAAAGATTCAAAATTAAAATTGTCAAGCAAAACAGAATGATCAAAACCCTGAGGTGGGTAGAATCCTGACGTTTTAAAACATAAAAATTTCAAAAATTTTCGCTGTACTGCCTCAATGGATTGAGTGTGACAAGTAAATTGGCGACCATATAACTGAGGCAAAATCCAACTTGCTACGCACCAAAGTAAAAAACAACAATTTAAGACTCTCAGGGTTTGTAAAACTCTTGCTGTTTCTTATTATAAAGCCCAATGTTTTATATGCCGATTTTGTGGTAGAATTTATATGTTCAGTAAAAGTAAGCCTTGTATCAAAATAAACTCCCAAATCTTTCATAAGACTGACTGACTCCAAATACACGGTGGATTTTTACGGCCAATTTTTGGATCATCAGGCAACCACGTTTTTTTTCATAAATCGATTATATGCCTGTTATAGACAAAAAATACCAAAAATAAAAAAAATCTCTCGGTTTTTTTGTTTTTTATTAAGAAAAATATAATATAAATGGGTTTAATTTTACTTTTTTGGTTATTTTGCAAAAAGTATCAATTTTATCAAAATTCTGTTTTAACAAAGATATAGAATAATAAATTTTCTACAAAAAAGGTTATTAGGTACCATATTTGCTTTCCTGTAATTTTTAAACGTAGTTTTTGTAAAAAAATGTATTGCTTAATTTTTTTATTTAACTTGGGAAAAAAATTGTTTTTTTAGCCTACAGAAGTAGATAAGTTTTTAAAAATTACTATCTTTTTCGATTGTAATACTTTATGACTAAGAAAAAATCGACAAAAAAAGCATAGAATTAAAAAAAAATCAGTAAAAAAAATAAAAAATTTACTTTTTAAACAATTTCATGCGATATTTAATTTTTAATCATAGTTACCCAAGCAAAATGTAAACGTCAAATAAAAACAAAATTAAAATGTCAGTTTGGTAGTGCTTTTAAACATGAAGTTTTCTAAATTAAATTATTAAGATTCCGACTTTAAAAGTCATAAAGATAATAGAAAGTTGTTGTGTTTAGTTTGTTTTGGAAAAAAGAAAAATTTATTAGAAATACCGAAAACTGTGAAGAAGATAAATAAAGACAGTTTAATAAAAAACTATGATGAACAAAATAACTCTTACCCGTGCTTAATATGTCCATTATGTGTAAGAAACATTTACAAACAAAGTAAGGATGAAGAAAATAAAGAATTAAATATTAAGGTTTTTAATTATGACGAAGTTTACATAAAAGAACAAAGAAATGTACCATGTAAATACTATTTGTGTATTTGTGCTACGAAGCAGAGTCGAGCATGTAAAACAAAAACAAAATTTGAAGCAGTATAAATTAAGACAAATGCAAATTGTTATTTAGTTTTTTTCGATTATCTCAAAACTTTATTTTTGGCACTTAGGCCCTTTCCAATTTCCACTCTACAATAAAAAAATATATAAAAATTACTATATAATGTAGAAACTTTATCCACTTTTATGTGTCAATGTAATTCCAATTACAAGAACCAGCAAATGCGATTTTTAAAAAATTTATAATTTTGTACGGATATTACTCCTAAAGTATATATATTACAAAGAAAATGCTTATAACCTTTTTTGAAGAAAATTTAATATTCTATATCTCTGTTAAAATAGAATTTTGATAAAATTGATACTTTTTGCAAAATAACCAAAAAAAGTAAAATTAGACCCATTTATATTACATTTTTCTTAATAAAAAACAAAAAAACCGAGAGATTTTTTTTATTTTTGGTATTTTTTGTCTATAACAGGCATATAATCGATTTATGAAAAAAAAACGTGGTTGCCTGATGATCCGAAAATTGACCCTAAAAATCCACCGTGTATAATTTATAATTAAAAATCACTGGATTGACCTTTTTGGTGTATCTACTTATTTTACATTTTGAAATATTCAAAGTCAATCTATTCACTTTACACCATTGGCCTAAGACATTTAGGTCATTCTGAAGTTATAAAACACATAAGATGAAAAAAACTTTAAAGTATTTTAATAGTATCGAGCACCCATGGTACTTTATTTATATCGCCTGAAGCAGCACATAAAAATAAAATACCTTTATTATTGTACTAAAATTTTAGTATAAAACATCTATAATAAAAGGTTTATTACTTAGCTGTAAAGTTAAAAGGACTCAAACCTAATCTTCACAACAAAGAGAAAATTATATTTTTTACTATTTGTGGATAGAAAAAATGTAAGTATTAATTTTAATTAAAGTATAAGAATAATTTATGTTCTTTTATATTTTAGTGTTGGTAAAATGTAAAAAAATATTTTATTTTGCTAATATTAAATTATAAAAAATGCTAAATTAATGGTAAAAGTACAGTAATAAAAAACTTACCTTAACTTAACAACTAAGTGGCGTAGAATCCAATAATCCTCCTGCAGAAACTTCATAAAAAGGGCGACAAAATGAGGATCGATAGTATAAAAAAATAAAGAATCACTTTTCCACGCGTTAAAACAATGTTTGGCTTTAACACTGGCGAAGCCACCAGTTCGTGCTCCGAATTAATACAATCTGTATCTTAAATAGTAAAGTCTTAGAATGTTTTTTACATTATGTCTGTTCGATCGAGAATCATAGAAACGATTCGTGAGCGGCGTCGTGAGGAACTTTTATCTCTTCGCCTTCTGCCTCGATGTACTCGACACCTGAAACAAAAACCACCAATGTAATTTCCGACCCTGATGATAAAAGTTTGATATGCAGGTCCTTTTTATGGCTAATGAGTTTTTTACTTCTTTTTGGTGACTAGATTGGTTTTTCGTGTATTTTTTTTTTAAATAATAATATCAAATGTATCCCCTTTTACTAAAATGGGGAATTTGGGATGTTTTAAATATAATATATATTATAAATAAAACTATTAGGTTAGCAAAAATATACCCATAGTGGCGGCCAAATCTTTATGGGTGCACGACATTAATGCGACATAATAACGTCAGCATTACCAAACTTCAAATTGTTAAGTTTCTGAGATGACGTTCGATCCTCTTTTATAAAACTAAGAGTGTCTATATATACAATTGTCTATTACATATAAAAAAACATATCGCACTAATCTACCCGAAATCAAGTGCATAATATAAATACAAGAAATATTTATAACCTTCAGGAGTTTCTGGATAATGATATGTTATGAATTTGTTTGTTTTTTAGTTTTAATTGGTTTTTATTACCTTTAGCTATACACAGTAAAAAAAAATCAACTCTAAGCAGCACTAATAAGAGTTCACACAGGTCCACACTAAATAGTGTTGTTTTATAACACTACAATTAGAGTTAATTTGTAGTGTAATTTTCCCCAAGTAAGCAAGTATGATTTAACACTAGCACTGAGGATAAAGTAATTTTACACTGTATTAAAAAGTGTTAATTTACCTAAAATCGTGTACTTCTACACTTCCTGGGTAAAATCCCACTTTTGTTCAGTGTAAATTAACACTACTTTGGAAAAGTTCTAATTTTAGAAAGGTACTTTTACTCTTTTAGTGCAAACTTCTAGTGTAAATTAACACTATTATTTGAGTAAAACCGAGTGGTGGTAGTGTATAAAACGAAAAGGTAAATAAAGAGAAACATTTATTTGGAACAAAAATCCATGACAATTATCAAAATCGGTGCCTTTTAAAATATAATTTTATATTTGAGTCGTATGGCTGGCTTAAGCAAAATCCCGAGTCAAAATTAAGATCGTAATTTAAACCTTAAGTCTGACAATTTCCGTCTTGAACGGTTTTATATTCGCCTAAAGATAACCAACTTATGACCTAAAACATGGCAGATAAGTCCATTTTCCCGATTTTTCGGTTCTAATTACGTTTAAATTTAAACCAAAATTTTTATTAGAGGTTTAAATCGGTTTAAATCGGTTCAAATTAAGATTAATTCGGTTGTTCTAGTGCTAAATTGGAGTAAACAGACTGAACAGGTTTTAAATCAGTTTTGGTAGGTCAAAGTAGGTTTAAATTACGATTTAAATCTTGACTCGGGATGGTTCCTTAAAACATAAAAGTTTTAGATCAATTCAATGTTTTACTGGCTGTCAACTTGTAAGCAATGAATTGAGAATTCATCTTTTCTGTTATAAAAAATGGGTTATCCCATTGGTAGAGAGGCGTCAGGCGGCTGTATGTCGGGGATTTACCACACTTGTACAAATTTTCTATAATATTAATAAAAATGTAAGTATAGGTTAATATAACAACCATTACGCTTGAAAATAAAAAGTAAATCAAGTGTGTATGTATTTATATTATTAATGTTACAAGTACCCGAACTATTGCTGTAAATTATTGATATATAATATGGGTCGGGTATGGACATCCTTTCAACATATTGTTATTTATTGAGTATTAAGGCTTAAAGAAAAAGGAAGTATAATACTTACCAAAAAATAAGAATGTCCTCTTATGGATTCACCGTAATTAAAATCTAACTGAACAAAAATGCCACACATCCACAACGCAGTATCTCCGGATATGCTCTGCGTAGGTAGATAGGTACCAACCAAACATTTTAAAACCCATTTCTGTTATTACCAGTTTTTTTAGTCTATTTTGCCACTATTGGTGTAATTTATTTTTGTGATACAATTTGCACTGGTAGTGTAAAGAAAAAAGAGCTCTTAGTAACATAAAAACAGACAAAGAAATTGGAATGCACTGTAGTGTACATTTTTTCACTATTTAACACATTAAGGGGTAATAAACACTCGTATTAAGTTTTTCTCCCCTTTTGATTTATTTTAATAATAAATAGTTTGTACCAATGTACCAATGAATAATGTTCATATTCTTTAAATGTGTTTAATAAAGTTAATAAGCACTAAATGCTACCTAGTGTATTTTGTAGTGTAACTTTTACACTTACAAATCAACTCTAATATTTTTACCCCTACACTTGTATGCAAATAGTGTCTTGTTTTTTTTTTTAATATATTTATTATACTTATTAGGTATTTTATGTAAATGCTAGTTAGTTAGTCAAATTTATTTATTATTATCATGTATTATATTTTTTGTGACAAGTGTAAATACTATGTGAACATGGATAAAGCATTATTATTATTATTATTATTATTATTATAATTATTATTATTATTATTATTATTGTTAAATCTGCTTTTTAAGGCGTAATTCTAATGTTTTATATAAAATATATATCATTTATCATATTGTTTACCACGGACTGTATCAATTTCTATATTTTAAAACGTTTTTTTACGAAAACTGTCCAGTAGTAATTTTTGTGTGTGCCAGTTGCTGATAGATTAAGGCTGGTGTGCACCGTTCAATATTATTGATGGGTTACCGTCATTTTATATTTGACGTTTTTTTGTAATTTTGACGTTTAGACGTTGCTCCCAGAGTAAAATGCCATAGGTGGCAACTGAATAAAAATAAGAAAAATATGCCATTCTTGACATTTGATGAGTACATACCTGTCTAAGTCTTCTAATGACATAGATGGATCTGGAAAGTCATTAGTTTCCAAATAAACTCCAAGAAATTTTCCCTCTTGATGTTCACCTACACCAAAGGTTAGCTATTTAGTTTTTTCCTTGTTTATTTTTAATTTATTTGTTTTAAACCATTCCCTTGATTGTTCAAATACTTTATTTAATTTTTCTTCAGCTTCTGAGTTGGTTTGTGTCGTCTGCATAGCAGCAGTTTTGTTGGGTTGTTCCACAAAAGGTCATTGAGGTAAATGATGAAAAGGACTGGTCCGAGTACTAAACCTTGTGGAACTCCACAATTTATTTAAGTTTCCTGAGAAAATTCTTCTTTCCATTCTACCGCCTGTTTTCGATTTTCCATATATGATTTTATTAACTTAGCAGGGACTTCTCTTAATCCATCCAGAAGTTTAATTTTTTCAACAGAATTTTGTGTGATATGGTATCAAAACCCTTACTGATGTCACATAGTGCCATTTTTATAACATATTTTTTGTTTTTAAAAAATTATTATAAATAATTGTATACATTGTGTTTATCATATTCTAGCATTGCAAACAATGTTACAAGTCTCCAAGACTCCAAGTCTGACTTAGTTCGCTCTGACGACAAAGACGACTGGTTATTTATTATTTGTGTTTCTGGTAATTTAGTATTTTTTTGTTATGTTCATATGTAATAAAAATTAATAAACTCAGTTTGTTTTCTCTCGGATTACATTTAATCAAAATTTGCCAGTAACAAACTCCTAATTAGTTAGTGTAGAAGATTATAACAATGATGTTATAATTCCATCTTAATAAACAGCCCCCACCGATATAAACAGTCAACAGCGATAGATTGTGCCTGGGCTCGTATGAATAGACCTTAACGCTTACGTCATATGCCGTTGATGACGTGCACCCATGAAGATTTGGCCGCGACTATAGTAGGTTAAGTTGCAAATAAAAACCCACGTTTATTGAATATAAATATGTTATATTTAAGGTTTAAATTATAAATTACACTGGTAAAATAATGGTAATTTTTGGAATTAGACACCCAAAGTACCATAGAAAATTTGTTGGCCAACATGTGGCAAAATTTCTGTCGAACAGTGTTATTTAAAAATTAATAAAGCGTGAAACCGAAAAATAAATTTTAAAAATAAACAAAACTTAATAAATTACTAAAATAATGGGCCAAACATAAATATGATAAAAATAAATAAATATCTTTATTGTTTATTTTATTTTAATAAACTCAATAAAATTTTCCAAACCCAATTAAAGTTAACAGTTATTAACAAGATATATTTGAATATCCAATCCAATTTATACTTTTTATTTCATTTAAACAAAACCAAGGAGTAAATTTTATGTTTTTCGTAGTATATATAAATAAATATATTAATATAATTTAAATATTTATAAAATAAATATTTGCAAAAAATTGGCATAAAAATAAATGTTGTGTCCATTTTCGTATTTCGTATCATATATATTTTAATATCGCTAAGATTTGGTGATCTTTTATTGTTCTTGTGAAAATGGTAAATTAATTATGTATCAAGTTTTATAAAAGTCATGAATTTAAATTAAGCACAAGCGAAGTTTGCGAGCGAGTGTTATAAAAATTAGTGACTAAAAAAGTTTATAAACGAGTTGCAATACTATACTTTTTTAACACCAAATATTATTATAAAAATAATTTCTTACTAATTAATTTAAATATTTGTATAGAGCGATATCTATATCAAAAAGAGTAACTAAAATTGATGTATATAATATATTTTACCGCATTTCAAAATGTCAGTATCAGTTTGTACACAATTTCTGTAAAAATCGAAATTTCTCCTTTGAAAATGGACTAACAACTGTTAAAATCCGAAATAGAAGCAGTTTTTTTTAAGTAAAAGTGAACATGATGTTTTTATGCCCGCGAAAATAAACGTATATGCACAACTTTTAAAAATCAAAGTCAAGAAACTATTTCATAATTTTGTTTTATTTGTATGTATGATAAAATATTTCATTTGAATAAAACATAATGAAAAAGTTTTAATAAATTAAACATAAATATAATGAAATGTAAACCATTATATTATAAATGTAATAAAGAGATGCAAATTCTAAAGTTAATTAATGGAAAATGTTGGTTTTAAATGTTTTAATAATACTTCTTTTAATTAAAAATGATAAATAAAACATTACCATTGGTTTTAAAGCAAATGTGTGACAAAACAAAACATAATTAAAATATTTTAAACATTGAAATAATGTGAAAACCCGCAATAAAAATTCTATGCGTGTAAAAATAAAGAGAAAATTAATTATTCCTGGCGCATTCGCCATTTTTGAAACTATGTTTATTATTTTTCTAACCACCAATTAATAATAGTAACATCTTAAAATGTATTCAAACTATCAATGATATTTTATCAGAAATTGTGGTATGTATGTATGTAAATATTATATTATCGGGAGATTTCAATGTAAATCTATTAATCCTTTATCAAGTTGTATGAATTATTTTGATTTTATTCAAATTATTAATGAAGGAAACACGTGGAACTTAAACAACATTTAAATTACTCGATCCAATATTTGTTAATTGCCCGGATAAAATTTTAACAGTCGGAGTTTAAATGCCTTTTTAATATCTGACCACAAATTGGTTAGTTGCGATCTGAATGTAGAGGAAGAAACTTTTACAAAATGCCTACGTCAGATTAAATATATTATATACTAATAAGAATATTTTAAATCTTTGTATCAAAAAAAAATTGTGTAATTTCATTGTTCTTTCTATTTTTAATTACTCTAATGTATTATACTATCCTTGCCTTGATAAACTAAAAATCGTATACAAAAAGTACAGAATACATGTTGCAGATATATTTACAACCATAAGAAATTTGATTTTAAAAAACCAAGTATGGAAAATAGGCACGTTTATAATTATTTGGTTTTCACACACAACCTATTAATTACATCGTCAGCTTTTTACCTACCAGAAAAATTAACTTTGGTAGCGATATACATGGACATAGTGCACGTCACAACAACTTAATTATGCCTAGGCATTTATCTACTGGTTTTTAAGGCTGTTTTAGCTACAAACCCCTTAAACCAAAAAAACCTTAAAAAACTGACTCCTAACTCTTTTCGCAGAAAAATTAAAATATATTTGCATACAAAGCAGAGTTTGCCTTTAAAAAAAATAATATTAAGTAGACAGTTATCGGACACTTTAAAGTTATTGGACAATTAACATTAATACTGTAAAAACAAGAGTTCTATAAATAGTTACCTTAAAGTCAAATCATTAGATTACACTGTATACAATTATAAATATATTAGTCGGTAATAATATAGGACGTTACTTTGGTGGTAAGATATTTGTTTTTTTTGTCAAGAGTGTGTGTTTAAATTATAATAAAAAATATTTTTAAAAAGTATACAGATCAATGTGTTCCTCATGGTTTAAACATTGTCACTTTAATGAGTTTTAATTTTAATTCTGAAAACAAACAGTAAAATGGCCAGTGTCCAATTACTGGTTGGTAAAAAATGTAAATTTCTATTGTTGGACATATGTCCAATATCATACTATATTTGTATCCCGGACATTTACCAGCCAATTTGTATGTAAAATTGTCCCCTGAATCCGAAAAGACCGTCAAAAACTCAGCAGTTTTTGAGATATAGTCAATTCCATATTATATGTAAAATTGACAACATTTCGGATTCAGCGAATACTATTTCATGGGAATTGACTGCTAAATGTCCTGGATACAAATTGCTGTTGACGAGAAATATTAGTGGCTGCTTTTTCGCAATGACATTTTTGAGTAATTCATTTTTAGAAAGTAAGTAATATAGTTATTTCTTCGTCACAGGACATCTTGCAGAATAACAGTGATTTAATTACAGTGAATGATAAAAAACTAAGGAATTAGTATATACCTTCAGAATCCAGAAAAGGGATGAGGAATCCGAGAAAGAAATATATTAATTATATGATATTTACAAAAACGAAATAAAAAAATTACCTAAAACAGAAATTTATCTAAAAATAAAATTTTTTAAACTGATGTAAAGTTGTTATGTTTAAATAAAAATTGTATGTCCAATAACTATGGTCTATATGTCCAATTACTATATAAAATGTCCAATTACTATACTTTTTAGCATGTTTTTATAAAACTATTATTAAAAATTCAAATATTCTTATTTTTAGGTAAACGTAAATAAAGTTTAAACTTTAAACAAACAAACTATCCTTTTTATATATTTATAAGAAAAAACCTAAAATCTTTAAAACAACGGCATATATAAATTTTTAATAAATAATATTTCTTAAGTGTCCAATAACTATGTGGTTTACCCTATTTTTTGTTGAATATTGAAATTGTTAAAGAATATTATTGAAATTCTTTTATTTCTGATTGTTTAATTTTATATTAATCTTTTGTACTGACATTTGTGTCTTCTTCCTTTACTTAATTGTAATACAACGGAATTTTTGTAATTTCTGTAGTTCATGTTTGTCATCTATTATGTAATACTTTAAATTATATATTTTTTACTGACAATATAATACTGTCTTACAACAGTACAGACAATATAATACTGTCTTACAACAGTATAAAATAAAGTCGTTTATTATTATTATTATTAACTCTTCGTCATCTGAGTATTGATTTGTTCTATGTCCAATATGTTATAATCGAAATAAACGGGTTTGAAACTTTTACATTAAATATCTTATTTGTTTTTAAATGAAAACTTAATTAAACATTAATAACAATATTCTTGTTTAGCCTTTAATTACTGCTATTGAGCAAGTCTTATCTCAAATTTGGATTTATGCCTCAATATTGGAAAAAACGTTTTGGAGATAAAACAAAAAGTGCTATTTTTGGATTTTAGAAACTAAATGTTGGACATATAACAAAGTTTTACGACATGAAACAAAACTGAATTAAAAAACACTTAATTTAATAATGATTTACTTTAATAATTATTATTATAATTATTGTCAAAATACAATGTCATATACCTACATGTAAATAGGTAAAAAAACGTGTACTGGCTAAAGTAGAACAAAACAATTTTATATTTATAAGGAAGCTTTACTTGGAGATAGCACAAAACAGTTATAAAATATTTTTTCCATATGGATATAGCATAAACAAATACTAATTATTTTCAAATTTTTACAAACACAGAGCAAAAGAAAGCTTGTAAGCGTAATTTTGGAGATACTAAACTCGGATTTAGACTAACCTAAACTAAAAACTGACACAATTATATCAAAATACTATTATGGAGGAGGAACAAAGCAACTTCAACTTTCCGAAAATGCATAAACCTCAAAATGGTAAAAAATTGAGATAGCACAAACCAATACTCAGGTGACGTATAGTATTAGCAAGCTCTAAACGATAAACTTTTGGGAGTGGTTTCTTTATCATCAGCGTCAATTATATGTACCATGCTGTCCCTACTCATTTTCAGATTTTTTTTTATTAAAATTGTAAACAAACTTATATAAATACTTACAGATGAGGACCTACCTTCATCGTAGTCGACATGACACCTGTTAGTTATGTGGTGATCAGGATCACCGTATTGACTATGATAGAACTCCTCTCGCATCATGTGATTAAGGCTGCTGCAACGGAAGTACAAAATGGCCTGGAAAGGTTTCCGAAAGTCTCTGTTCAACGTCGCGTAAATGATCGGGTTCAGCAAGCTGTTGGCGTAGCCCAGCCACAAAAACACGCTGCCCAGTGTCTTGAGGGCGTTCGTGACCTCGAGGAAGGGCCTGATGAGGGCCAGCACGAAAAAGGGCAGCCAGCAAATGGTGAAGGCGCTCATGATGATGCCCAACGTGGTGCTGGCCTTTCGCTCTTTCGCCAGCTGAAACCGGAGCTTCTTGTGGTTGGCGTGCTGGCTGGGCGACGTTTTGATTTTGAGCAGGTTCGACTTGTTTCGCTTGTCGTTTTTGTTCGCCTGCATCAAGGGCGGCTTTGAGCCCAGCATGGGGCACTGCGACTCGTTGCTGTGCCGGGACTTGAAGCAGCGACCCAGACTTGTTCGGTCCAGGCTACACTGTAATAACAAAATGCAAAATTTTATACCAATATAAATGCTTAATTTAAAAATTATTTTATAAAATTAAAAGTGTTGTAATGATTCTGCTGACCTGGAAATCACTCTTATTTAAAAATGCAACCATCAAAAACATTTCGTAGTTTTTCACTGTAAAAAACTGCTTCTATATCAAATAAAAGGGTCCATTTTTAATAATAGATTTATTTGTTGTTAGGATGTACTATGCTCCACACCTCAAAGTCCCACCACGTGACCACGTACGGAACGCAATCTTTTGAAGATTTGGCATTTAAGGCTTTTCAGGTTATGTATCTGTCAAAGTATAGTCAACGAAAGAAATAATATTATGTTTAGGCGTTAAAAATGTATAAATCTTTATAACATTACTATAACAATGGTTTAAGAATTTAAGAATATAAATACTGCATTTAATGAAATTCTAAAGTGTATGGTGCCAAATAAGTAATATTTTTGTGCATTTGGTCCAAATATCTGGTTTTCTCCATAAAATAATTTTAACTAAACTGCATTTATTAAAAAAATCTAGCTTCTCTATTATGGAATAAGATTATCTGTATTAAAGGTAGGTTAATATATTATAACAAAAATATCATCTAATTTTGTAATTTTAAGGTTAGAAAAATTTATTTTCAACAAAATAAATAAGTATTTTGGATTATTTAAAATACTGTATAAAATGGTATTTAAAAATGTGGTAGTTTTTCTTATCCAGCTTAAAGTGTACCTACATAAAGTTTTGTCAATACAAATAGTTAAAAAGCTTCGACTGAATTTGATCTACATCAAAAAAGCATTATAACTTTAAAATTTTTAATAAGTCATGGGAGTATTAAATATTTTCACATTGCAATTTTCTCTAAAAATTGTTTGTTTTCTTATAATCTAACTTAAAGTAGGTATGCCAAGAGGTATGCACAAGTTTTGTCATTAGAAGGATAAAAGCTTCAATTTAATTTGAACCATATTCAACAATTATTTAGTATACCTATATTTATTTATGACCATATTCACACTCTTCCAAATAATCCACTTATTTATTTTGGTCAAAATAGATTTTTCTAACCTTAAAATACAAAATTAGAAGATATTTTTTGTTCTAATACATTAACCTACCTGTGATACAGATATTCTTATTCCATAATAGAATAGTTAGATTTTTTTAATAAATGCGGTTTAGTTAAAACTATTTTATGGAGAAATGTAGACCCAATGCACAAAAATATCACTTATAAACCAACCATTGTTATTATGATACTATAAAGATTTATTAACTTTTAACGCTTAAACATAAGCGGTAACACTATAAATATTATTTCTTTCATTGACTATACTTTGACAGGAAAGCCTTAAATGCCAAATTTTCAAAAGACTGCGTTCCGTAAGTGGTCACGTGGTGGGACTTTGAGGTGTGGAGCATAGTACACACATTTTATAGTTTTACAAAAAAACATCTATAATACTTATAAGTATGTATTTTCACAACAAAAGGGTCTAAAAAGCAGCAGAGGTGATATTTATATTTTATACCAAAAAAAACTTAAACTATAATCAATAGCATGACCAAACTTACAGCAAACATTAAAAACATTAAAAAGGAGGTTTAATTAAAAGTCCACAAATTATTTTTTATTTCTTTTTTAAACTGGGGTATTTTAAGGTTTTTAATTGACGGGGTAATAGAGTTGTAAAGCAGATAAACGTTGCATGTAAAAGATCTCTTAAATATTTCTGTTTTATGAGTTGGGAGTGAAATAAGACCTTCAAGTCTGTCCTGTACTTAATTTTTTGGTGGAGGTAAGAGGGTTTTTAATGTAAATAAGTTTACGATTCACACATAAAAATTTGACATTTGACATATACATGTCACTCTATACAAATATTTAATTTAAATCAATTTTAGATAAAAAGTATAAAATAGCGTTTATCAAACTTGATACATAATATACTATATTATACTCGATATTATATTACACAAACAAATTTAAATTTATTTAGTTGTATTAAAAATCCTATTATATATTTTTTAAATTTACAGTAATATTAGCCCCGAGACTCACCTACATGTATTATGTAATCTATATGAGCATGTTGATTACAAGAGTATCATATTTTGATGGGAACTGACATCCCAATCATTATAGTTATCATAAAACTTGATACGCCACTGTTATAAGACATGTATTCACTACCATAAAAGGTCCAAAATAATGAATAGAAACATGTGTTTTTGCTGTTTAAAAGGATTTAATTATAAATTTTTCTCTATTTTGTATTAATAGTATATTATGTATGTAAGTTAATAAACGACATATTAGTCACGAATTTTAATTAGTCACGAGCGACATTCAAAATGCCAAATGCCATTTTTGTGTGTAAATCAAAATTAATCCCTGCCGGCGAAATCAAAAGGTCAGTACAAACTTGCATATAAACTTTTCAAATAGTGAAGAAAATAGTATATTGTTTACCAAGAGCCTTAAAAATAATACTTATTTCATTCTTTAAGCAATACACACACATATATCGACATATGAAAGTTTTTAATAAAAAAAAACAAATCAAATTATTCTTATGCTCAGATATTATTTAGTATTTTAAATCTTTACCAACAATCAACTGATTTTTCGTTTCGAGTATTACAGTGTCAAAGTAACAGGAAAACAAACTTATAACGTGATAATTATCAATTTTTTCGGGACTCTCACGCAATCCACCAATACTACGATAAATAACCTTAAATCACAACGTGGCAAAACAGTTCACAGATTGACAGTTTTTTTTGTATTTCCAATAGTTAAAGGCACAATGGTCATTCAGTCAGTTCACTTGAGTACAGATTTTGAAGACTAATTAACTTAAAAATACGCGTTTCTTCTAGTTTTTTTTACGCACATTATAAGAATTATAAGAAAAACCCTGAGCCAGAGGTTTCGTGGTGGCCTGATGTTGTAATTTACGTTTAATCGAAACTATTTTTCTTTATGTTGATATAAAAATGTTGGCTTTATTAAAAAAATAAATGTGTTTTTCTTTCAAATTAAATCCCGCGCTCTTGTTGGGACACCTTTTATGATATGAGGGTTAATGTACCCAGATACTTGGGTTAAATATTTTATGAGAGTATAAACTTTTCCTCTAAAGGCATCTTAAATTTAGTTAGAACCACAACAACAACGCATGCTAAAGGCGGAAATGGAGTAAGTATACTAGCTTTAATAATTGAAGAGGAATTCTTCTGCCTTTAGAATTTAAAGTGTTTGTTGAGGTTTCGTTTTTCCTGTTTTTCTTTTAGAAAACAACAGTAGTTAGGAGCCTTTTACCGTAAAAGCACTTAGAATTTATTTGGATACATGCGGTATTTAATAAAGTATTTCATGATGTGATTTGGGTCCTGGAAATTTGCCTTTCAGCATCGGTTGGGAGGTTGCCTTGTTTCAATTCACCCGAGCGCGGTAAGTAAATATGTCTGTTGCTTCTTGTTTTCCATATTTATAATTAACATGTTTCATTACATTCGAGGCCTGTCCGGGGTGTTACAGCCCGCCTAGATTAGAATATGTTAAGGGCTGAATTTGCATAATTTCCAGTTATAGTTACTGGTGTCGTCGCTTAAAATTGCCGCCAGAACTACTTTTTATTTTCTTGAACAAACTTTTTTCGCTCGATTCGTTTTGTTTGTTTTCGCGAGAATATTGTTTGTTTGCAACATTAAATCATGTTTTTAATCCAGGCTTAATTACTCGAAAAACATAAGCTTTGGAATAATAAAACGTGAAAGTTTTAATGACGCCATTACAGTTTATAGTGTGATAATTTTTTATATGAAAAATGCTATTTTAGCAATTTAAACTTTATTGTTGTAAATATTACTCAAGTGATTGATTATCGCCTATGCTGTAAAAAAACCGTTTGTACCAATAACAAATTCTGTCAAATAACTGTCAGATCTACCTAACCTCACTTTCTACTTTCAATAATTATTATTATAATTATACCTATTATGTATCGTTTAATAAATAATATCGTAACTTAAAGATAAAATGTTGAATTTAAACTTTGAGCTAAGCACAAAAAAACTTCTCAGCCTAATTACATAAATACCTATTTTTTTCCAAGGGGGGACCATGGTAATTGTCTTTTAACTTAATTTTGTATTATTTGATTATTGTTTAAAAGTTTTTGAAAAAATAAATCCTGTTATCTTTAGTAAAAATAATTTATATCAATCGGGTAAAGTTTTTTACCTCCTAGCCTGTAAAAGACCCGTTTGGACCAATAAAAAAATTCGTCTACTGTCAAATATAATCCAACCTTACTTTCTACTTTCAATTATTAATATTTTGGATGTTAAAATTTGTGTGGTCCTTAATATTTGTCTTATAAATATATATATAAATTGTGTCCATGATTTTTAGTGTATCCAAAAGTTTATCATTAAAAAATTCGGATAAGATATACTGGGTGTTAATAAATTGGGAAAACATAAAAATTCTTAAGACAATGATTATTATTTATTCTTTTTGACAAATTTTATTAAAAATATTGTAATAAAAATGGTTTAGGTACCATAAAAAAATCAAATCAAATATATAGGCTGTTAATAATTAATAACATCCTGAATATTTTATCTAAATATTTTTAGGGTAAGCCCATTTTTTGACAATATTTTTTATAAATTATGAACAAAAATAAAATAATTGTACTTCGCGCTTGAAGCATTTTTATGTTTTCCTAATTTATTAAACCCCTGTATATTTTTAATAATAATAATAATATTATTAATAATAATTTTTAATGGTTATTATTTCGATAATACTTTTGATACATTTTATCAAAAATAATAAAAAATTATACTTCTCTCCTTAAGCATTTTGTTTTCCCAATTTATTAACACCCTGTATATCTGATCTGCTTTGTTTTTATTGTAAACAAATTTTTTTAACAAGCAGAATTTTTTATAAAGAATGAATTTTTTT